AAACATTTATGAGACAAGATGGCAACAAGGAGAATAAAAATGAAGTGAAATCTCAACAGTGGAAAACCTGAAAGTACACCTCAAATTTTGGACATGAAACTTTCATTTCATCAAAATGATTGACTGTCTGTGTTGCTTTTTGCACCCTTTTTGGGTGATGGTAAGACAAAAGAGCTACAATGGATCTGAATAGCTTCCTGATCGAACATTTTATCAAAGGCATTTGCTTTCGATATCGATCACGTGTCAATTGCCAAACATACTGATCATACATTCTCAACTTGAAATAACCTATGAAATGTTTCCCTGTACCCCCCTGCAATGTGCTTGCGTACACCCTAGTTGGGAAACACTGCTGTAGATGACTGATCAGAGGTGATCCGTTATCTGTTTTCATTGCCACTGGTTTGATAGCACTCAAACTGTTTATAGGTGTGAGTGACTGTCTGTAAGTGCCCTGCAATTGAAACCCGTCAGCAACTGGGGGACAAGCAGCGTCGGAAATGAATGGTTGTCGACTAAAAACCATAGTTAAACAAAGAGCATGGAATACATGACAGCATATGCTTGGAGTGGGAATCTGCTGTCACCATGACAACAGTAGCATTTCGAGCCATGACCTTACCAGAACATGACGGTATTGCATGAATGGCAATTACAGAAAAGGCCATTATATATGATAATGCTCCCCAAGTGGCCAAAGAAACAATATCAATGACTTCCAAGCATACAAATGACATGGTTAAAAATGTTAAATGGGATCATTCGGATTACATGGATGAAGCCTGGTCCAGAGTTACATCTGAGGAAAATCAAATACATGAGGCTATAACTTCAGTTCAGTGGAATGCCCCAACAGTGGTAGAATTTGAAATTCAAACAAAGTTTTATGGAAACAATATGACTCAAAATTCAAAAAAACTTCAAGCCCAAACAAAGGTTCAAGCCACTCTCTTTCGGACATACTTCCTAATTGCTGCAGTACCTAGGAAAAGCCTCACACACACACACACACACACACACACACACACACACACACACACACACACACACACACACACATATATGTATACATATATAGTAAACCAAGTGCGTCCTTGGAGCCACCTGTTAGCCTTGATACACTGCTTACTGGAGACTTTGTGGAGACGGTTTGATACAAGCTAAGAATCGGTTTAGGAGACACTGAAGTCTCGAGGTCGCACCATATTCTCGGTACCGCCCTTCTGATGAAATAAATATGTTGTGAATCCCTTCCTCCTGCGCAATCGTGATCGCAGCCATTGTCTGTCAACCATGGGTGCCCGGAATATTCTCCACATAAAACCTTTGAAGGTACTGTTCATCGCCTTCAGCCTGTATATGGATAACCAACATCCTCATCATCCGAAATCAACGAACACGCGGAGGAAAGAAGGCCACTTTCCTCCAACAATATACCGTATATATACAGTATTAACATTTGTACTTGAAAGTTGTTCTTTGTGGTAATTGATTATTATGACATGCTTAGATGGAGTTAGATCGGTGCAAATGGCCTTTCTGTGTTTCCTTTTTAATCTATGTACTGTATGTGTACATATCAACAAGCAGACACTGATGGCAAGCCAATGTCAGACCTCCTAAAAGCGTAGCTGCTATGCCATAGCAGCTACACGACACCGCCAGTCAGAAGTGTCGACGAGCAGCTGCAGCCGCCGACCTGCCAGGAACACAACGCTTCACCTCGTTTTTAATTCCATAGCTGTTTCCGTCTCTACGGTCTCCACCTTCCTCCTCGTTTTCATCCTCATATGCCCTCTCACGTCTGCGTGGGTCAGAGAATAGAATCATGTTCGGCAGTTGAGGAGAAGCGTAGTAGTCATATCTAAGTTTAGCTGAGAGGCAACAGCTCGGAATAACCAAGGGATCAGTTTCATTAATTCATCCAATATACATTGCATGTAAAAGTTATTCACAGCATTTCACTTTTTCCGCATGTTACGTTTCAGTGTCATTACGAAATGGTAACATGACGCCTGGCAAACATGCAAAAGAGTTCAATCTTTGTCTCATCAGACCAGAGAATTTTCTCTCTCATGGTCTGAGAGTCCTTTACGTAACTTTTGGCAAACTCAATGCGGGCTATACATGTACTCTGTGTGGATGTGTGTGTGTGTGTGTGTGTGTGTGTGTGTGTGTGTGTGTGTGTGTGTGTGTGGGTCTATTCTATAAAAAGAAACAGAAATGTGAAGATAACTCAAGTCAAATTTATTTACACTTTAACAATCCAACAATTATGAAGAGCAAATCCTTAAATTTAAAACTTACATTAATAAAAGCTTTAAGAAAAAATATACACAGTATTACACTAATTTTAACACTAAGAGTATATTTTTTACTATGGAAAAATAACCCAAATTAATCATGTTCTTGGTTTAAAGTAGCAGACAAAATATGTGTTGATTCTTTTTGCAATCTGAAAAATAACGTGTTTTTTTTTGTTATTGTTTTTGGTGTGAATTAAGAAAAAAAAGCTTTTCCTTGCACAAAATTTCAGACATTGAGGCAGTTCACTGTAGTATTATGTCACTGCAATAGAAAAATCATTCATCCCAAAATCTTTTCAGCTTTCTTTTCATCCAAAACGAACACAAAAAAATATATTTGGGGTGAAAATGAAGAAGAACAATAACAAGATTTATAACAGACAGATGCTCACATTTGGAATACGTCGGCATTTTTGTGTTTATGGTCATTTTTAGGAACCTCAGCTGGATCGTTACATATCATAACTTTAAATGAGGAGCCAGCAGCTCTTCGGGGGATGTCACTTCCCAAATTTAAGGAGATACATCCAATTCTATTTTAACACGTCAGTCTCACTGAAGATGGGAAGAAGAGGACTGAGACATGCTGCGGGCTAAAGGTAAATTTGCTGCGTCTTGCCACGATGACTAGAAAAAGGTGACATACTGTATCTGCCATCTTGGACACTGTGGAATCATCGGGGTAAAGACAGATGAATGACACATGGAAGCAATTTGATGGTGTAACTCAGTGGGTGATGTCCTGCATTCTGCTCATCCACAACACACACACAAAGCTTTCATGGCTTTTGAAAGTCTGTACGGGCTGATCTGTACCCTGACCTGTCTGACACATCTGAAAGCCTCCATTCATTTAACAGATGGAGCTCATGTTCCAGGTTTCAAGTGCACAAAACAGTAAGTTTGACATTAACAACTTGAATCACTAACATTAAAAAAATTCACCCCAATAGCTGATTAAATATTGTGATTCATTTTATGATAAAATCAAGCACAATACAATGTGCAGGCAACCGACCCATTCATTGTGTATGTCCTGTGCACAAAGTGAGCAGTGCAAAAACTATTATTGTGTATGTTTTGGTTGGGTCAGTTGGGGTCAAACTTCAATTTTGGAGCTATTAGCATATTGTGCCAGCGATATACGAAAATAGCTTGATTGAAGTTTGCTGGTGAAAGAAAAGCGAAGAGGGGGGTACTGAAAATAGGCAATTAAAAGAAGAATGAACCAAAATTGTTGCATTCAATCTCCCTCCAACCAGCACACAAGACCAATGTTCTTTGTATGCAAATACTATAATCAGACTACAGCCGTGATGAAGATTTTTAATTTGAAATGGTAATATATGAGGGAGCATGGGAATTTGGAAAACAAATTTGCTCCGAATAAAGAAGAGGAACATCAGAAGCGAACTCGCTGAAATCATCATATCAAGCCGCAAGCAGGATTCTTGTCACATACAAGACACAACAACAAAAGGCAACAGAGAGCTCATCTGGAATTGATTGGATTCTAGGTGAGCACAAGAAGCCATTCTCAGATGCAGAAAATAAAAGACTCAACATTAGGTTTAAGATTAACATGTATATTAGTTTTGGAATTTCTAAGATGGCCTACAGGACAGAATACATGTTTTCTTCTTTCTTGGGGATCTTTGTGTTCCTGTACATTATAAAAGAATGTTGTTCTTACGCTCCATTTTTGGGGGTTCATGACAGAGTTCGTGTATTGTTTCAATCAACTATTTTAATTCATGTCGTAATTGATTGACATTGTATTTCAATTCTTATTTTTGATGTTGTTTTGAATTAAGATATTTGTTCCAAACATTACACTACATTCGCATGACGCCTGAGTCAGGCCGCCTGACCAACCTTAATAAATAGACCTTTGCTTCACTGAGGAAAAAAATCTAAATACAAAAAAATGTGGACCCGATTTGAGGAAACAGAGCGAAAATGTGTATTAAATTATGCAAAAATCTGACACTTAGTACTTAAAAGAGAGAGGGATTTTAAAATGCACATACAGTACAGCAAATAATTCGGACACTATAAGTGTTTCAAAAAATGCAAAGCGAAAGAAACGAAAAAGAATTTAAACTGTATCCTTTGGAAAGGTGAGACCACCGCCGTGCTACTTTTCAAACAAAAGTGATGGCATGAAGCAATGCATGCGAACCACTCGCAGAAAATGTCTCTCTTTTCAACCATAAAAAATAAAAACTTTGCTCAAACAAAAACAAATGTTACCTTATTTCAGTTGTCAAATGTTTTCGCCTATGCACAACTTTGATAGCGTTGTAACCTGCAGCTCTATACCTAATCGGCTTGGTCGTGTTCGTACGGCAACTACGTTGGGCCAAACTACGGTTGTGCTTATTTGTTTTTGTTTGATTCCTCTTCTCTGCCTTTCAAAGCAAAAAAAACCAAATACAAACATTGGAGATTTGTTGTTTTCAGGTTAATAAAGTGTAATAACTTTTTTTTTCAAATTTTTGTTGGATGATGAATACGCGCATATTTAATAGGGCACCCCCCCCCCTTCGGATATAAATTAACGTTGGTGACGTAACACCACCAATCATCACAAGGTATCGACTTTATTCACACCAAGAAACCATTTATTAATACACTTGCTGTATTTCTTTCGGATGTATTATTGTATTTTGCAGATTCGCCCTCAGCTCACCCCTTCCCCTGTATCCTCCTAATTAAGACAAAACAATATCCGGTCCATTTTCTACTCGGTTTCCAGTGTTTTGGGTGTGTTTACGGTTTATCGTCGCATGAATGATTGATTAAAATAATTATAATAATAAAACAACTCCCGGAAGTCACCAACACCCAGCACCAGAGTACCACCGAGCCGCTGATTGAATGACAGCCGCCTGCTGAACTCCGCGTCGGCTTGGATGTGCTCAGTCTCCCTGGAGTGCGTGTGGGAGGAGGAGGAAGAAGTTTCTCCCACCCCCCAAAAGGCACGCTCCTTCTTAGACGCGCTAATACGAGGAAGGAAACAGACGATGCCTGTCGACCCTCGCGGACGCTGGATTTGCTAATTGGCGACATTATTCCACTTTAGTCAAGTTCTTCTGCGTGGCCGTGGAGAGATTGTCGAATCAGAGGATGCTCCCACAGGTCATTCGGATCCTTTACGTCTTGTCGTTCTGCTTTTTCCAGGGAGGCTTTATCAGGTGAGGAGCGATCAGATGTCATTATGTTATGTGTCGCTTTTGTGTGTCATCAACTTTTTCGTTTAAATCGCTGTATTACTATTACGCTATTATCCACTTTTTAACTTTCCGGAACCGAGTAAGTGTGCAGTACTGCTGAAATCGGGGCTTAAATTAGAACCTTTAATAGAGCATAATAAATAGAACATTGTTTCTGCAAATTACTTTAATTTCTTATGAGATACCAAAACGGAGTGTGGTTAGCACTTCTGCCTCTATTCAGGAAACCTGGTATCAATTTATATTTATGCTTATTAAAATGTATAGCTTCCATCTATTCAACTGTATATGGAGTGTGCATGCTGTCCCCGTGCTTGCGTGTTTTCTCGAGTTACTCTGTGTTCCTCACATATTCGAAAAACATGAATACCTGTATTAGGTTCACTGATGGCTCCAAATTGTCCATCGTGGTGAATGTGAGTATGAGCCGTTGTTTGTCTCTATGTGCCTGGTGATTGGCTGGCGACCAGTCCAGGGTGGGATAGGCTGCAGCTGTCCTGCAGCCCCAGCGAGGACAAACACTACAAAATGGATGAATGGAATTACCAACGAGGGCTACCTGTGGAATCCTGTCTTGCGCTTGCATTCCATTGTAACAATTCATTAACAATAGCCACAGGTGAAGTGTGCATATGAATAACAAGCCTAAAGGACACAGTTAATCCACACTTGTTTTTGAGAGCATTTGGAGAAGATAGCACTATTTGATTGCATGAAGAAAAATAGAGAAGCTGATCAGTGAGGGTAAAAAAATACTATTCACGCAAACGGACAAAACCAAAACAAACCCCTGATTCAAATGATCACCTCATCAGCAAGCTCGGTGGAAGCCTGATAAGGAACTTGATGAATTTGAAATGGGTCTTTTGTCGGAACAGGCAGTACGGTGGCTCTTGAGGACTGGAGTTGCCTACCCCCGGTTTAGGATAACAGAGACTCTAAATTGTCCATAGGTGTGAATGTGAATGGTTGTTTAACTCCAAGTGCCCTGTGAGGGATTGGCGACCATTTCAGGGTGTACCGTACCCACTGCCCGAAAATCAGCTGTGATAGGCTTCAGCTCGCCTACAATTCTAATGAAGACAAGCGCTATAGAAAATGAATGGTTGGAATTTCCTCTGAAGAACAAGCTGCCCCTGCAATTCTGTTTTGCTGTTGTGAAACATTGTTCAAATTGGGTCGACTCACTTTGGCCATAATAATGGTCATACGTGCTGGGTTGTAATTGCAGGTGCAGAGCCCACATTGCACAGTTTTGTTGCACAATGAAAAAATGAGAAACTGCTTCCAGTAAGGGTATGTGTTGATGACAAGATAAACATGTGGAAAAAAAATTGCACTGTGAAAAGTTGACTGAATTCACTGTCATATGAATGCCATGTCAGTGGACATTGTGCACATCATCAATTGTTGATCATTTCATTGTGTGGAACTATGTTGTAATTGTTGATGAAGCAAATTAGTCAATATGGAGTGCACTACTTGGCGGCGGCCAGCAGATGCACTGTTAAGTCACCCTTAGCAAGTCTGCAATCACTGGAGAAGAAAATAATGACAGCTATGAGCTAAATCCAAAGTGAAAACTTCAATTCAATGGAGCAGCATTATTCTGTTTAATCACAAATTAATTCAGAAAATTCAGTCAGTGTTTCCCACACTCCTCTTTTCTTCTTCTTTTCTGTTTTTACCTGGTGCCATTAGAGGTCGCCACAGCGTGTCCTCCTTTTCCATCCAAATCCATCTCCTGCATCCTCCTCTTGAACACCAACTGCCCTCATGTCTTCCCTCACTACATTTATCAACCTTCTCTTAGGTCTTCCCCCTTGCTTGCTTACCTGGCAGCTCCATACCCATCACCCTTCGAGCGATATACTCACGATTGCTCCTCCGGACGTGACTAAACCATTTAAGTCAGCCCTCTCTAACTTTTTCTCCCAAACTTCTAACATCTCACATCCCTGTGAAAGTTATTATTAAGATAATAACAATCAGTTAATCATCAAGTCAGGAATTTTATGTAGAATGCCCTTCCCAACGACCCAAACAGTATTTGGAATACACCAGTGTATTTGTTTACAGTATACGGTACAGTATAAGGAAACAATAATGTGACTCGGATTTGATTTCAAACATCTAGTTTCAATTTCAAGTAAATTTACCCTGTGGGGAAATACAGTAGACAATGCATAGATTTTGCAAGTGTAATACGGTGACCTGGTGATGAAGTTCTGCCTTGACGAGTGATGCTGTCATTACTGTCAGGTTGTGCTATCTTATGTGGCATTGGCCCAGCAGTTTATAGGACAGGGTGAGCAGTGACTCATTTGCATGAGACATGACCACCCCTCAAAAGGCGGATGGAATGTTCACGATCATGCAGTACACTCCCATCAATGGCCTTCTTACCCCCAGTCTCCAAACTTGTATTTGCGTTGAAGCACTCCCCCTATTTCATGCCCTGCCAAACTCTTCAGGTGAGTGCAGAAAAGGAATTAAGAGTCACATAATCCCACCAAGGTACAGCGGGGTGGGGGCCCAGAGGGTGCAGGAGGGGAAAGAGAGGAGGAGGAGAAGTTGGGCCATTTAGTCCCCGGGAGCAGTCAAGTGACAGCATCTCCTCAGAGAAATTAGATGCTCAATCTGTGTAGGGGCAAGGGATGGAAGACAGGCAGAATCTGATGCAGCGGGATGGAGCAGAATGGGATGCAACGGAAAAATGCCAACAAAGAAATGGAGAGGGTATTTCATTTGGCCCGAGGCACTGGGAGAAAAGGTTCAGATAGGAAATAGAAGAGATGGAGGGGGTTAGTGTCATAAATTAGGAGATTGTCATGTAGCCTGATTGATAAGCAGTGGAAGGGTTAGGAGAGGAAATGAGAATGTGGAATGAAGAATGTGATAAGAAGTTGGTCTCACTAACCAACGTATGTATGCGTGTGTGTGTGGGACGATAACCATAGAAACGGAACGTGCTGCAACCTATAGGAATGTTTCTGGCGGATCAATTAACTCATTCAGTACCAGCCAATTCTAGACCCCCTTTTTTTTTACCCTAAGTCTTGGAAAAATTGAAAAAAAAAGTATCTGGGGTTGAATGTGTGGAGTGTGAAAAGACATATAAATATGTCTTTGGGAGTGAATGAGTTTTAAATATGAGCAGTATAATAGGGGTCTTGCGCAACCAACAAAACAGGAAAAGACATTTTCCTCTGTTTAAGGTCACTGGTGGAGCCCCTATGGCATCGGACAAGGGACACAGCAGCCGTAAATATATTAAACGTCTATATTATCTTTTGTTTTACTTAAGATGTCTTCAAGAACTAGCTACCATGCCCATTTAAGATGTTGTTTTTTTTTTTCATGTTTACATACTGTATCATATCATTTTTCTAGATTAGTAAATGATAAACCCGTGTTTAACGTTTGTCTGAAGATACCGATAATATTCAAGCAAGTTCAGGTTCAAATGTGGTTATCAATGTGCATACGCATCCAAGTTCGCTAACCTGTTTAAGGGGTCATGTGATGTTACACATATACACCACAAATTGCAGATGCTAAATGTAAATAGCAAGTAGCTGAAAGCAGGGATGCTCACTGAAAGTGTCATTTTAACCAGTTTAACTTTAATTTTGTTAAACAGTGTTTGTAATGCTAAAAAATGAAACTTACACTTTTACCATCATAAGGCAATGTTTAAAGTTACCTTTTAGCATTCTTTACTGTCACATAGTGTAAAAATAAATGGTTCTCATTCAACAAAGTGGCATTATATCAAAGTATTCACTGAAAAACACACCAGTTAATGGCTGTCTGGATATTTCTGTACACCCAAAGATGCCGCCCAAATGTCCTGCTCCATCGAAGGTGTCATGCTAATGGAGAAGTAGCTAGCTGACAGCCACATACCTGTCAACTTGTACGTTTTCCCCGTATTTTATGTTTTTTTATCATTTCAAATCATGTACGGCGTATGACAACTTTTACACGGGGGGAAAAAAAGCAATTGTGAACCGATCTCACAAAGACCATTTTGGCTCAAATCCATATCGTCTCACCTGCTGGTAGCCAACAACAATGCCGTCGCCGATCGCTACTATTGTCACGGCAACCCAGCAAAAGTAATCCTCAATCGTATATATTTTTTCATCGCTGCGTACGGTCGGATTGATAAAGCATGATGTGCGCATGCGTGGTAAGCCGTTGTACGGGTTTTTGTTGCTTTGTAAGGGGAGTCGTAATCATTTATAAGGGCAGGTATTATTCGAGGTTGACAGGTATGCAGCCAGTAGTCATGGAAGATTCTAGTAGAGGTTCTTCAGGCAGACGAAGCATTTTGTGGGGTTAACTTTGGCTAAAGCAGGGTGGAAAAGATGCTCTCCTATATATGCGCTCCATCCTGTGGTCATGTGATGTGTATCAGGCCCATGATAAAATGAAAGTGGCGAAGTGAATGGCATTGACATAAAGGTCAAAGGAGATGAGCAAGGTTATTCTGTGCCTGGAGTCAATGCTGTGAAGAAATATCAGGAAACAAGTCCTATTATCCAGCCATTTTGCTATTTATTGATTTATTGAACGTGTGTTACTCTCTACCACAGCGAATAGGTTAATAAAGAGTCAAAGTACACGGCAAAGTCTATTTAATTTTTTTCATTGCTAGGTTTAAAATGAGTTGCATTGAATTCTTCTGTCGTCCTGTCACTGGGCTCACAAGAAATAATAAACCCTGGAGACGTTTTATCATTTGAGTGTTTGCATGACTGCCTTCACTTCATTGTTTTGTGCCACATTTGTCTGATCCCTGCAGACGCCCACTCCAATTAAGATGACATATGCCACGCTGTGGAACTCCTAACTTCTGTTCTTACAGGAAAAATCTGAAATGTAACATGAAAGCAGACATTCCGAGGCGAAGGATCAATCACCTGCACATTGAAGAAAGTTAATTTGTTCAAAAA